TGAAAGAAATTCGGTCTTTTTGTGTATAGCTCCACGAACGTTGTATCCCCACGAATTTTTGCTCTCTCCTTGCAAACTTGAGCATCTTGGATGCCCAAAAAATTCTGTTTTTTTAGGATTTTTTTAAAAACTATTTTTAGAATTCACTGTTGATAGGGTGCAGATGAGCCTGAGCTCATCTATCGATTACCACATCTTAGCACCCTTTCCTTATTCTAGAAATCCCTTAAAGTTCTTCTCAAATCTTAACTCCTAGAAAATGAGGATTAGAAAAGGTGTGGAGCTTCCCTCCAAAAATTAACTCCCGAAATAGAAAAATGTGCAAAGATAAGTCATTGGAAACTGAAACTGAAACTAGATTAAGACCATGTAGTGTTTAACTGTACATAACAGTCCATAACTAAACATCCTAATACAAAATTAAACTAGATACCACTTTATTAAAGGTAAAACGAGTTAAATAGAGCTAAAAATGAACTAATCATCATCAGAGAAGAGGTAGACCACCAAGGTCTTGTCGGAGCCTGATGCCTCGGCGTTGTGGGTGCCTCATCGAGCTCATTGTCGTTGTCGAAACTCGAGGAGGCCACCGAGATGACGCCCGCCACGGCCACATCCCACCGCCTCTACCACGAGTAGGCATACTCATGGGTGGGGACGCCGCGGGATAGGGCAGAGTCGAGCTCGGCGGTGGTGGCAGCGTTTCGGGATAAATGGGTTACGACGGGCGTGCATTAGGGTTTGGACACGGCTCTGGTGCGGTTTTATAGTGGCAGGGGGAATGGTCAGTGTGGCAGCACGCTGGCGGTTATCCATTATTTTTCAGTGAGAGAAATCAAAGAGGATATTTGGGGAGAAATGCCCTGGCTGCTCAAATTTGAGCAGAACTGCAAACTGTTGAGTAGTAACTCCTTAATTTTTTTTAGTAGTTATAGCTATAGGGGAATGGTTAGTTGGGGCCTAACTCCTTAAAAGGGAAGTTAAGAAAATTGGAGGGAAGGTTTTGAGATGTCCTAAGCATAGTTGTTTGTTTTTCGGACCCTCTTAACTGGTGAACGTTTGTTGGGGAGGATGACATTTACGAACGATTTTCATGGCAATTTTAGTTATAAGAAGTGACAGTTTCTTCGTACTAGCATGCCAATTCCTTCCTAGAGAAGACAATTTTGTTGAAAAACGGCCAACGGCTGCGAGGGTATTCGCTTGGAGTTCCTTCCAAGCAGACGTTTGCCAGTTAGCATTGTTGTTGTTTGTGTGCACAAGTTTTTTTTTTGTGTGTGTGTGTGTGTGTGATTTCGGGTTTTGGCAATATTTTCATGAATTTTTTTGGACAATTCCTTTCGGATCCTATATTTTGTGGACAAATATTGGACCCATTTCCTTTGGGATATCCAAATCTTTGGAGAGCAACCAACCCGCTATCAGAAAGCTCTGTCTGTTACAGAACACATGGGCGCGCGCGAGTGAATTACAGTAAAAAGTAGACAGGCGGCAGTAATCCAATTTTACATAACCACGTCCACATCTTCTTCAGTGGATCCAATAAATACATCAAATGATGCCGAGCAAAAGGAGTGGCGTAATTAATTAGTTCACACATATCTTCTCACTGCTGTCCTATGTCCTTTAATGCCCGGTCTATATAACCATGCTGAGATAAGATTCCTCCTACGATGCATCAGCATATACTAGACTCAAGAACACATCCATAGTTTCCGCAAGATGGCTGCAACTTTTCTCTCTGTCGTCTTCAAGATCCTCGTCATCGCGCTAGCCAGTTCTTCCCTCCTTTTCACCCCAGGTATGTGTGTCCATCCATGTCCCCTTAGTTCTCTACTGCCCCCCCATTTGAAGCCTTCAATTCCAATCTAAGATCAGTGCAGGTTCTTGCGAAACCGTGAGGCCAGATAAATGCTACTCTCTCCGTCCCACAATATAAGATCGTTTCGCAAACTAGGATCTTCCTCTGACTCTACAGATATTGATATTTTTTTGTGCAAATTTCCTACACCATTTTGTGATTCAACTTCGAATTGAATCAACTGGAGCCTTATAATCAGCTTAGTAACATTGTGGATATGGACATATGGATGCAGGAGAGGGCAAGTACGTGTGTCAGGGCAAATGCGAGGACATACCTAACTGCGACAATTGGTGCAAATCTCCCGGCGGTTACCCCAAAGGAGGGCAGTGCGTGCCCCCGCTCTACCAGTTCTGCTGCTGCATTGAATAATCATCCAGCATGTTTCTCAAATGTCTTGTAATCGTGTGTAGAATCAGCATGGGTAATAAAATGTGAGTCGGTAGCAGTTAAAGGTAAGTGTGGGGGAGGCTGTAACTAGGTTTCAGATAAAACTTGAACGCCTGTCAATGTTACAGACAGACCACGGGAGCGAACATACTCGCTAGGCACGCGTGCCCCGGCATGGTAAATGGTCTCTAACGCACCATCTCGGGATCAAAGTGCTATGAAGCACCAGACCACGGCATTTTGTGGTGATCACGGTGACGGGACGGTGCTTGATACCGTCGCCCCCCATCGTCCACGACCGACACTAGACGGTGCTCGTCGCGGTCCCGTCGAGCACGATGACACGGAGATTTCGCCATTGCTGTGGTGGCACGGCGGCCTTTGCAGTACCTGGAGGTAAATCATGCCACTGAGGTAAAGCAGTTTTCACTGACTTGTAAGTTGTAACTGATAGAATAAATCCGGGGCGCACGTCGATCTACCGACGACAAGCAATCACACAAGCACAAACTGTTGCATTTGTTTCTACCATGATTCTTAAAGAAAGGAAAGCTCGGACATGCCACTGTCCGGCGCACAAACTTTCAGAAAAATGGCTTCTTCTCCGTACCAGAAAGATGCGAGGGCATTGATCTGCAACCCCTTAAGCTCGCTCTCGGGTGCCAGCACGGATCATTCTGCTGCAAAATACCTTGGCATGTTTCTCTGACAGAAAACTTACCAAAACAGACTGTCAGCCAGCCATGGACAAATTTGGTTCCAAATGCGCCGGCTGGAAGATTGGCTGGATGAACATTTCGGGCAGACTTATCCTGGTGCGCGTGGTCCTCTCTGCCCTCCACACTTTCTAAATCATTTCTTGCTCAACCCTAGTCGCTAGGCAAGATGATCTTGCGAAGTATGCCAAGTCCATACATGTTTCGTTTTTTGTCCGTGAGCGTTGTTTGGATTATAAGCTGATCATCTACACTGCCGATGTTCTCCAAAGAAGGGATGGCTTCACAGCCTCATCTTCAAGTTATGTCACATTCACCTAGCATCAGCTCTTAACTTGCTTGCCCAATGCCCTTTCACCCGCGCTGTCTGGCAGGACGCGCTGCAACGTTTTGACGCCAACAACTGCCCGAAGAAGACGCCACCCAAAGAAGACGACCACAAAGATCTGCTCCAATATCATCTGCTCTTAGGGGAAAATAGACAAGGAATGAAACAAACGAATTTTCAAGAATGATGCCTGCAATGTTCCCACCCTGTATGGTATCCAAAATATCTGGTGAGGTACACTGCTGGAGCTAGGCTGGCCTTGCAGGGGCGATGTGGATGCCACCCTGTCTACTATACAAAATATATTGCTTCGGCTCTTTCCATATTTCTTTAACATATTCGCATTACAAAAAACAATGCTCCACAATTTCCTCTCGATTACAAAGATGACAATCATACCTTGCTGTGATTGATCGCACTTGAAGTTGGATACCCGTAGGAAGGCAATTATGAGCCATTCTCCATAAAACCACCTCCATCTTGTTAGGACATTGAATTGCCCATAATTTTAAGCCTTTTCCATAGTCAACTGATTTGACGATGATTTTGTTGGCATAGTTACTTTGATTTTTCTAGAATGGCTGGGATCTGGCAAGGTTATGTGCAGATCTAGCTGAATATACTCAAATCTTAGTGAGTGGCCAAGGCGGAAAATCTGTACAACCTTCAGAACTTACTGGAATAATAAGAATCCTCTCTGCAATCTCTCCAGGAAAGAGGCTCAATGGAAGTTACCTGCAGGAGATAACCAATCGAAGAAACAAAAGTAGTGTAGCTAGAATTAATAAATGCAAGAAATATCAGGATGCCACCAATAGAAAAACTAGAGCAGTGAGTACAAGGAAGACATGGGCTAGACTGCTAGAGCAACAAAATGCAGTATAAAGTTACAGTGGTTTTGGATCAGGGATATACCAACACTGTTGTTAAATAGATGGTCTACCAACACTGTTAAAGCATTGATGCAGAAAGTTTAAAAAGCAGCTGTACTTTCAATTTAGATACTTTAGAAGAAAAGAAAAAACAGAGCAGAAAATTATGATCATTTCTGACATATAATATAAACCAACTGGGATATGAATCATCAAAATTGACCTTTCTCAACCTTCTGAGCTAGCATGATCACATTACATGCTGCACACATATGCAAACTTCTATAAATATAGCATCAAACCAGAAAAACAAGAGCCCAAGAAAATATTACAAACGCCAGAACATAAGCAACTCTTGCTTAGACAGTCAGGTAAAACATCAATATAATATACAATAGAACACACTAAAGCGTCTCATATAGATCTACTAGTTGCACATCAAATTGCATAGAACATACTACAACTCATACCAAGTGTCTCGTACACTTTCATACGGCTCAGATTGCATGTGTACACAAACTAGAACATAAATAATTCTGGCTTAGCCAAAACAGGTACACACGGAAATGGGCCATACAGCCGTACTTGTTGCCCATCAAAAGGCACAGAGCATACTACAACTTGGACTAATACATCCATGAGGGAAACATCAAACGACACAAATACTAGAAATGAAAACCAACACAGGTTAAACTGAAACTAAAGGTAGCATTTTCTACAAACAGTGCATCATCTCCGTTGGAATCTTTGTGAAGAGTTCACTTGAAAACGCAACAGAGCACCTCGCTCATGGCTTCCAATTTTCAGTCAGCAGAACATTCATCAACTGGGAGTTACCAGCCGTATTCCTCCATCCAATGGTAGGCAGGACAATAGTGGCACATATGGGAAAAATTGCACAAATTCAGGGTACTTATGATCAAGGTGATGTACAATTGTATTTCATGATGATCCAAATCGTATGCCAACAGTCCATTGTTTGAATGAGCTATGAAGATCAGATTGGCATGTGGGTGTACTCCAATGACTTTGAGAAACTTATTCTTTGGAATAACATTTGAAAGCTTGCGCAACAATTTCCAGTGCATGCATTTGCCATCCTGATGACACACATCCCAGTTATAAATCTCATCACTAAGAGCGTAAACCAACATAGTCAAAGATCTGTCTGAGCGGTATCGGGAGTTGATATACAATAGCTGTCCAGCAGACTTCCCAATGAAATCCGAGGAACTATTAGCTGGCAGCAGGACGGTTCTCCATTTTAGCCCTTGTGCATCAACTATCGCCAGTCCGGACTCATCCGTGAGCACGTGCAAACATCCCTTATGGAAAACTCCAGGCTGACCAAAGCACAAGCCAACTTGAATGACCCATTTGGGTTCCATTGCCACCCATGCACCGGTATTTGAAGAGTAAATCCTCACTTCTGTCACAACCATGAAATGTATGCCGCCGTGTTCCGGGTGTCTCCAGTCGTGTACAAACTCGAACACATGAAACTCTTGAGTGGATACGCTACTGTCGAAACCCAGGTAAGCAATGCTGTTGTTGCTAGCGTAGCCAGAGTGAGGCAGCACAGCATACTCACTGCTAGCTGGATTGGAGACCATGTAGCGAGATGTTCCAAAAGGGGCGCCCGTGCGGATGCTTGCAAGAAAAAGTCCATCGCAGGAATCCTCGAGGGAGAAGAAGCAGTCCGTGCTGTCGGGCGGTAGTGGCAGGCGCGGGTGGGTCTCGGGGGCGCCCGACCAAGGGAAAGGAGACAGATCCGCGTACTCGACGCCGGCGAAGCCGCTGGGCTCGGCCTTGCCTTCACCGGTGATGCGGTAGAAGAATCCGGCCAGGGTCTGCGACATCTTCTTCCGGCGCGCGGGGTCGGCGATGATGGCGCGCCAGGCCGGGCAGACGCACTTGCAGATGCAGAGAGATTTGTAGGGCACGCGAGAGAGGATCTCCGCGATCAGGTCGTGGGTGAGCCTGGACATCGGCTCATCCATGCCGGCCATCCGCCGCGAGCGCTGGCTACAGTTCTTGGGTGGAATAGGTAGGCGGAGATGGGCGGCGGCGGCGGCGGCGCGGCGGAGTGCCTATGGAGCTGGAGACTCGGAGTGGGGACTGGGTCAGGCTGCAGGTTTTTTTTTTTAAAAAAAATTTAGGTAAGGGTCAGGCTGCAGGTGGGAGGGGGAGGATTAGCCATCCCATCCCAATGTTTTAATGTGCTCCCATTGGACAAGAAGAAAATTAAGTGGGCTAGCCCTATTAATTCATTGGAGTCCAACTTAATCCCGTCGCCAATGACAGTGATCAGCAACAGCTTCTCGTCTTCTAAAAAAAGCAACAGCTTCTCGGCGCCAATGACAGCCACGATCTTCCACGCAGCAGTTTCAGCCCAGTCTCAGCGAGAGGCACACACTCCAGCAGTGGCGCAGGGTGCACGCGTCTTCAGCCTCGCCGAGCTCGAGAAGGCTGGCGAAGGCGTCAACGGCGGCCGCGGGCAAGGAGCTCCGCCTGAACCCCAACACGTCACCTCGAGCCGGCGCGAGGAAGAGGAAAGAGAGACAGGTCGTGCGACGTCGAGCACCGGCGGCTGCCGGCACGGCTCGCCGGCCGAACGAGGCGGCGTCGAGAGGAGCTGCGCCAGTGGTGCTGTGATGTGGAGCAGGGACCCGATTGCTTTTTGGAAAAAGATGCAGGGACCTAATTGCTTTTTAAAATATTTTCAAGGAGCTGATTGTTTTTCAGAAATACACCGACATATGGGTCCCACATGCCAGTTAACGGTGAAACAAACGATCAAATAATTAGAGCTCTGACGCATGGGGCCCAACTGTCATAATCACAATTAATTGTAAAATACTCTGTCATTAGGATTTTTTGAAACAACAGACCACCCACTTGATAGTTATCTAAGAAAAAAATAAAAACCAGTAGTTTTTTGAAACCCTAGCCCGTAAAGTAGTAGTTTTATGCTATTTTACAATATATGTTTGATACTGGTACAGGCAACGGCGAATCTACTACTACTACTACTCTTAAGGGCCTAGCCCAGCTAAATATTGGACTTCAGCCCAGCCGGACACCACATGTTCGCTCGCACCACGCAACCTCGTTCGTTCTAGTGAGAGAGACGGAGGCAGAGACCACCCGCTCGTGAGCCGCCCCCGCCCGCCATGTCTCCTGTGCCCTAGCCGCCGCCGGCATCCGGAATCTCTTCATCGTGTGCTCATCCCAATCAACCCCAGTCTCCAACGACGGTGCTCATCCTCAACGGCTGCTCATCCCCTCCCCAACACCGCGTATGATGGCATCCTCATCTAATCCGGCGGCAACGGCGAGGCCGTGGATTTGGGGGCTTGGTCGGCCTCTTGCTCGCCGACGACCAGCATCTGCTCAACGTGTCCAGGCTCCGGTGTAGTCCGGCCGGTGCCGCCGCTGCTGCTCTGCTCTGAAAGTATGAAGGTTGATTCACTTGATTCAATTTCACTTTTTCAGATTTTTAGACTTAGGTAGTTGCCTAACTATATACTGTAGTAAATTGTTTAGCTACCAATTGATTACTGATTCATAGTAGATGTACAGTGGCTGTTGGTGGTGGTTGTTAACATCCTAAAATTAATCCATGTATCCATCTTTATTCTTGTTTGTAGAAATGAAGAGAAAGAGGACTTTGCACAGTTGGTTTGCAAGCAATTCAAACGCATCCCCCGTTGTTCCTGAACCCAATACTCCCCCAATTGATGTTGTTGTTCAACCAGCGCCAGTTGAGAACTTAATTCACCCAACTCCAACAAATGAGAGCACTAATCCCTCTACCCATGTCGATGAGAGCACTATCCCCCCCCTACAACAAATGAGAGTATTGATCCCCCAGCCGATGAGACCACTACCCCTCGCACAAATGAGAGTACCAATCCCCCAACTAATGAGAGCGCAAACCAACCACCAAGGCGTCATATACTAGAATTCCATCCGAGTCAGATTTTTGGTGATCCGGCTGATCGAATACCAATAGAAGATTATGTCCCTGAAATTCGAAGTGAAGTGAGAAGAGCTTATTTATTGAAAGGAATAAACAAAGCTAGCGGGCACAAATTTGAAGTGGGATTGGAAGGTAAAATTTGGAGATCTTTTCAACCCCAATGTCTTGTCTTAATCCGGCAAACAACTTCTCAAAGTTTAACATTGACAAGCTTATACGGCTTGCTGAAATTTATGTTGAGGATTTTACACAAGCTGAACGGTTTTTGCTAAGATATGAGCTTCCAACATTCCTTACAAATATTAGGAGAAGTGAGGAATTTAATGCATGTCCATATGTTTCTACCCTTGCTCGGTTGATGGTTCAAACAACAAAACATAGAACTTTCCAATTGGTATATCGCCTCATCGAGTTGACATTAATTCTTCCAGTGGCAACTTCATCAGTCGAGAGGATATTTTCAGCAATGAAGATCATCAAAACTGATTTGCGCAATAAGATATCAGATGATTGGCTTAATGATTTAATGGTTTGTTATTGTGAGAAAAGGATATTCAGAAGTATTCCCGACGATCAAATTATGATACGATTCCAGAAAAAGAAAGATCGAAAAGGACATTTGCCTCCTGAGTATAATGCGATTTCTTAGAGGTATGCCTCTGTTTTTCTACTAGTGTTGATAGTCACTTGCGGATGCCTTACTATATCACTAACAATTGTGCTCATTTTGACAGATGGCTTGTAGTTTGTCTCTTGGATTTTGGTGTGGAGGTGTTCTGCAACTACTACCTCCGTCCTGGTTTATAGGCCCCCTTTGTAGTTTGTGCCAAATTTTGACTAAAGATTTAACTAACAAAATATTAATGCATGTCAAGAAAAATTATCTCATTGGATTCGTATTTGAACATAGTTTTGAAAAATATAATGTTTGGTGACATGCTTGAACATTTTGTTAGTTTAATCTATGATCAAAATTTGGCATGAAATACAATGGGGACCAATAAACCCGGACGGAGGTAGTACTAGTATGAGCTAAGAAGCAACACGCAACACCAATATCATTGTTTTTGTCTTTTTTTTGTTGCTTCTCTAGTACTTGATCTATGGGTGTGTGAACTGTATGAAACTTTGTCAATCATGCTACTAGTTTATGGGTGTGAACTGTACTTGAGATAAGGGCTATTTTTGCTAAACAGATTCAAGTTTTTGTTCAAAAATTCATGTTTTTCAGAAAATTTGAAAAAAAAATCAGTTAAATAGTACATGTTCCCAGTAGTAATCTGGGAAAGTTTGAGCTTATTTGGACAAATGGATTTGGAGATGATCATATTTTTTCTTCAAAGTAGCGTTTAGTTTTCTTGGCGTAAACTTTGAGCCCACCCTTCATTTTCTTTCTAGATTCGCCGCTGGGTACAGGCAATGCAACGACTCTGATTTGTCAAATAGATAGGATTACGAATCATCAACATTGACATTTCTCAACCTTTTGAGCTAGCATGATCACATTACATGTTGTGCACATATGCAAACTTCTATGAATATAAAATCAAACCAGAAAAGAAATAGGAGACCAAGAAAATCTTAGCAATGCAAACACCTCCTTATCATTACTTTCTAGCTGTTGACGAGTAACAAAGCTTTGGACAAGTGACATACTTTCATCCCAAATTGTTGTTGCTGGATCAGAGTTAGACAGATGATTTTATCAAAACTGTTGAAGCATGGATAAAGCACAGACCCAGTGTTAGAATCTCCCGCAGCAGGTGGGGTCTGGTTATATGAGGCAAGCCTTACCCTGCACAGTGCATTGCAAAGAGGCTGCGTCGAACCCAGGACCTCTTGGCAAAAGTGGAGAGTACTTCACCACTGCGCTGTAGTTCCAATTTGGAGCCTTTAGAAGAAGAAAAAAAACGGAGCAGGAAATTGTTCAGGTCTCATTAAGAGAGATGATAATTTCTTTTTTTTTTTGAAACGGAGGCAAAGATTGCCTCATCTATTAATTAAGCAGGAGAATTGCCCAGTTAATTACGGAAAACTGGGCGAAAACCGGAACAACAAGGGCCAAGCCCACACCCCTAGATTGAAACACATTGGGCAAAGCCCACCCTATTGGACAACATGTCAACCTACAGCCAGACAACGCAGCTCCGACTCTGACGGAGAACTCAGAAGAACAAAACCAGGCACGGCTGGCGCCACGAAAGATCACCGAACGGGCCACCTGCAGCCAGTCATCGTACACCACAGGGCCCCGCCGCCGCAGCTTCGACTCCACAGCAACAAACAAACCGAGGCAATACCGTGGACACGCCGGAGAAGAGCTGACTACCGCAACCATTACCGCGTAGATGAATTGGGATATGAATTGAGCTATGATCCCTTTCATACGGCTCAGATTGCATGTGTACACACATAAATGTCTCGTATAGCTATATTTTTCATTTCATCTGTGAAGTAACCGAATGTTCATTGAGCTATATGCTATTAACTTTATAATAATAACTAGGCTCTGTCTCTGCTGACTTGTTGAGCCAGCAGCTATGGTCAGAGTTGAACACTGGCACAGTTATAGAACAAGGTCCAGGTAAATTCAGTTCTGACTATAGCTTGACTGTATTTCTGTCCCTCAATTTCTACCGAAAAAGGGTTTCCCCCCTCAATATCTGTCCCTCAATTTCTGCAACATTTATGTATCGCCTTTGACTTGATCACTGACCCTGGGGCGCATACGGGCACCCGGCCAATGATCACAAGGAGGTCATTTTGTTCCCGATGATGCCAAACAATCACCAGCTCACGAGTGCTAACCCTAACAAGGGCCACCTCAAAAGTTCCATACAATACAATCCCTGACACGCTTCTCCACTAGAAAAAATCAACTCTTATCATCATTATTTTGCTAGAAGTGTCCCTAAAATACTTATTTCTTCTCTAAAACAGAGTGAACAGCGTACTGTAAAGTTACACCGCCTGTTTGATACTGGCAGAGGCAAGTCAATTTTTCTGATGAGCCCAAGAAAGCAGAAGCAGTACATTTTTATTTTGCAATAGATGTCGAAGCAGAGGAAGTCCCTCCTCTCCTATGTTCCAAACATGGCATTTATCCGGCCTCAAGGTTTCGCGAGAACCTGCACTTCTTGGATAGGAACTGAAAGCTTGCAAAGGGCGGAATAGAGGCATGAACAGACATACATACCTGGGGTGAGGAGGAAAGCACTGGCTAGCGCAATGACGAGGACTTGAAGACGACAAAGAGAAAGTTTGCAGCCATCTCGCCGTAGGCTCGCGCGTGTGTTTTGGGAAATGGGCAGGTCCCTTCCATTCATTCATAATTGTTCATTACATAAAATGGTCCTGTTATATAAGGTGACTCATTAAACCAACAGGAACCGGAATCATGCCCTGCTTATTTGGTCAGAACATGAACTGCCTCCTTATGGCTACGAACAACATGTCTGTGTTCATGATACAAACTTTCTTACTATCACGGATAATAGCACTGCCTCACCAGGGAGAGATCTATTGAGGCCTTGTTGTTGAACTTCATTAATCACGGAGGGAAAATCAGAAGTCACCTGAAGCGATTGAACCCCTGTGTTTTCAGCAAGACCTGGGAGCTTGAGGGCAATATACACGACTGAGAAAGCCTCAGCAAGCAGCTTACCAGTCCCAGGTGATTACGCATTACTACTCTGAAACCAGCGCATCCAGATTCTGAAAAAGTCGCAGCATCCATATTGATCATCAACAAGCTTTCCAGCGACGGAGATCATATATTCCTGAGTTTACATCGGCAGCGTCTCACACCTATTGGAG